AGGGCGCGGGGGGCCCCCGGGGCCTGGCGGCGGGGGCCGGAGCGGGGCCGCCCTGGGCCAGGGAGGCCGCGGGGGCCAGGGGACGCCAGTGTGTGGGGTGATGGCCCAAGGGGCCTGGAGACTGGAGGTCGGTCGGAGGCGGGAGCCCCGCCGGACCTGCGGGGAGCGGGAGGATCCCCGGTGGGAAAGGGAAATCCACCCCGAGGGGCGGAGCCGGGGCAGGTGGGACGGTGGGGACTCCGCTGGGCGACGGCCAGGACACCTGCGCTGCGCCTCAGCCAGAGGGCCGCGACAGTTCCGAGCTCCACCGTACCCAAATCCGTGGAACCCTGAACTCTGCCCCTTCCTCTTTCTCTGTTCCCTGTGGAGCTCCTCGCTCACCTTCAGGGGACAGTTTTGCAAGCCTGAGATCCCCCACCGGGCATATCTCCAAATCCTGGAGATGGTCTGCTCCCCCAGCAGGGCTGTCCAGCTATCATCCTGCCCCGGCAGAGCACCCCGGCTGTTCTAACTGCTCCTGCCAGGCTCCCAGGAGCACAGGGGACAGGTTCCTGCTCCAGTGGGTCCTGCCTATACCTAGGGGCTAGGGGTCATCCGAGGACACTGAATGCACCTTCGGAGGACTTCAGGGACAGTCGTCTTCTGGCTTGCTGGCTTGGCCAGGGCTGCGTGTGCCTGTTTTCCTAGATGATGACTCCAGCCAGGCGAGGAGGAATCTGCCACTTCTTTTTCTAATACTTTGGTCAACTCTTGAGAACACAATGTTTGATGTTCTTGTCGCCAACTCTGGCGAGGTACAGAGAATATCCTTTGGTAATTAACTGCCTCCTTTTACCTGAACCCACTTTCTCAGGACAGGAGGCAAGACTCTTGCTGGCTAACATCCCATTGCTCTTCTCCTGAGCACGTGCGTTTGCTTTGACGGAAAGAGGCAACATTTCATGCCAGATGCCCCTGTCTTCTTCTGTCTTAATCAGTGATTAGCTGAGAAAGGTTAAAAAAAAATGGAACTCTTTTTTGCAGTTTTCGGGACTTCAGTACTGTTCCCTTGAGACCTTGATTTAGGCTGAGAGTCACTTTTCCTGAACTGTTACTTTAATCATTTTGATGTAATAATGGAGAAATACGGGCAAAGGGATTATGTGTAGTATAGTTACTTGGCAGCTAGATACTGGCAGAGGAAGCCCCTTACCTGTTTGTCCTCAGATCTCTGGCTACCCACACCTGATCCAGAGAACATGCCGGTGAAGAAAGAGACTTAAAAGCAGGCTCTCTGAGCCCGACATGCGATGGATGGAAAAGAGAAGTGCACGGGCCTTCCGAGACTGTTTAGAGCAGTTAACTTTCTGTATTTCTCTAGAATCTGGAATTAGGACCTACGGGTGGAAACTAGGGGGGGAGATTTTACTTCACCGTAAGGAAAAACTTCCTATCCAATGATTTAGTTGTGGAGCTGGTGGAACTGTTTTTGGTCACTGACAGTGTTAAAGCAGACATTGCTTAACTAACAACTCACGTGAATGTTTTAGAAGGAACTAATTGCTTGGAAGAGAAAAGGAGATGGCTTTAGTGGGCCTTCCGGCCGCTTGCAGCCTCATGCCTCTCCATAGGTAATAATAATAGCTCTTGCTTTAGAACTGAGGTTTTGGATTAGAATCAAAAGAGAAAATTGGCAGTTAAGTCATGTGGATTATGAGAAAGCAAGATACAAACTAGTGTTCTGGCGGATCGCTCTGAGAAATGGGAAACAGCTTTCGTTGTCAGTGTGCTCAGAAGAGGAAATGGACAAGTGCCGAGAGGGTTCTGTCATTTGTCACAGGAATCCCAGAGGTGGCAAGAGGATGAGTGAATGCTGGCAACCTTCGCGCATGTGCCAAGGGGCAGAACGGCCTGGAGGAAGTTGAGGTCTAGTTGTCTTACCACAGTGGATGTCTGTCCTACCTTGGCGTAAGAGAATTCAGTCTTTGAAAAACACCCTCATTCATATGTTTAAACTATGTGTCCAAAACAAATGGCAGTTTCATTCTCATTATAATACTTATGTTTCTGGTGGTGATGTTAGAATAATAATGGTCGTAATAGCTGTTATCTAAGTGCCCACTGGGTGCCACACCTTATTAAGCACATCACGTATCTATTTTGATCTTTCCTGTAATTCCCATAATGAGGTGTTATAATCCCCATTTCGCAGATTAGGAAGCTGAAGCTCTAAGAAATAGCTTACCTAAGCTATTATACCACCTTATAATAGTGGTGTAGAGATAATGTTCAAGTTGAGTTCTTTTTTTATAAAAGAATTTTATTACTTAACTTTATTTATTTATTTTAATTTGACCAGAGAGGGAAAGTGAGAGAACAAGCTGCCAGATCCTGGACTCAAACTGCCGTCGGCCATATGGGAGTCCAGCACCCTTAACTACCACGCCACCTGCCGGCCTCAAGATAATATTCAAGTTGGGTTCTGACTGTAAAGTTACCATGCCGTATCACCTCCCATCATTACTTCTATCACACATTTGTTGTTCTGCTCCCACTTTCAAGGGATGAGGACAGACAGGAAAAACTGTACTGTCACAAAGGACAGACTGAATTAGAGGTATTCGGCTCTCTTTCAATTCAGTCATCTTTCAGCATTCATTGTGTGTGTTTAGTGATCATGACAGGCTTGGGGAGTCGAACGTTCAAATATAAAAACAAAGTGGCTTTAATAATCAATTGGGAAAGTTATGATTGCTGTGTGACCTTTAAAATTTTTTGTCAAACATTATAAATCCTGGGACCAGCAGTTAGCGTAATGGCTATGTCGCTGAACTCCATGTGGTCAACCATGGTTCAAGTCCCGGACCCGGTGGCTTAAATTCACCCTGGGCATGTGTGTGCGGGCGTGCCCAAGATCCCAAGAGGAGAATGGAAGAGAAGAGTTGTGGTGTGCCCATCCTCCCTGGGGGATGATTTCTCGGTTTTTATCTCGCTGTCTCTCGCTGTCTTTCTGGTGAGCGCACATGCCCTGTAGCAAAAAAATAACCTCTCAAAAAAATCATTATAAATCCTCTTACAGGTGTTTATAAATATGTACAGCTACAAAAAAAGTAAAACAAATATTTATTTAGTACGTTGTAATTGAAAATATGTTTAAAAATTGAGAGTTAAAGTGTTTGGTTTCTTCGTAAAATAACTTATCAAGGGTGGTTTGAACAACGCTTGCCTCCTTATCATGTAGCTTAGGTATAAATGATCTTTTCCCTGCTTTGGTGAGCCCCTCCCAAGGTTGGATCAGCTTCTGACATTTTATCTGCTGTACTTTGAATATTGTGAAATATCTCCAAGAAATCCTTTAATATGAAGTTTTGTTTTGGCCAGTGTCACTTCTTCTGGGTTATCAGCATTCTTTTCACCATAAACACTTCGTTCATTTATGGCAGTAAGTTTGCCTTTGCTAATTTCTCAGGCCATATAGCTCAAGTCTCCCGAGTGGTGGCAGTGTCAACATTCCCGTGCTCAGCCATTTTTTCTATAACTCTGTTTACATTTGGTTGGAATTTCACTTCCAACAGTACTGTTTCTTGTTTTTCTGCTGCCTGTTCATCACTGTGAGACACTTCCCTCTTTCTAGTATTTGTTTTTGTAAAATGTCACATAATTTTAGCACCAGGAGACAAGGAGGCAACTCAGCTGTATGCTTTGCTCTCTGTACCTGAACTGAGTAACAGGTGCTTGAGACTAACCCGCAGATTTGGAAGGAAGTGGCTTGCTCAGTCACTGATGGTGACGTGCTTCTGTAATTTACACAGTGCCTTGTGGACTGAGGATCTAGCAGTGAAGTTTGTACAGTAGTCAGTTATTCACCTGTAATAGGCTATAGTAACTGAAATTCGATTTGTGTCATCTGGGTATGGTATTTAACTAAGTCGTGGTAACTGAAGTTTGTGCGTACTGGACTCCTATAAAGCCTGTGTATCTCTAATCCTCTGGAAGGTCCTATCAAGTAGATGGTGTTACCCCATTTTCAAGAGGGGAGAAACTGAGGCTTAGAGAAGGTAAGTAATCTACTTAGCATCACACAGCTAGTAAGTGAAAAAAAATAGTATTCAAATTTAGCGCTAAAAAAAAAAATTAGCGCTGACACCTTTTTCTATCAAGGCACACTTCTACAGGCAGTGGAATTTTAAGTGATACTGGTTTAATGGGGGAAAAAAATAACACCTAAGGAGAAAGGAAGGGGGTTTCTAAGCTTTAATTATGCCCACCCCATTAACAATTATTTGGAATGTTTCATTTATTCAACAACTATTTATTGAGCACCTATTTTATCACTGACCCAGAACTATAGAACTTATAATGAAGGTAACCTCCCCCTTTTTTTTGAACTTTGCCTGAGGATGAACAGAGAGAAAAAGAGAAATGGAAAGTGAGAAAGCACCTCCCACCAGGTATAGTCACACTTCCGTCCCTTCTCCTGCATTTCTTCCTCCTTTCAGGATTTTGGGCTTGAACGCCTATGTGCCCGGTGTGTTTTTCATCTGCCTTGACTCAGCTGGGATCCAGCCACCTTAACCACCATGCCCTTGGCTGGCTAGAAGATAGTTTTCCTGTTCAAAGTAGCTGAGAGCCCAGTAGGGGTATAAACACGTAAATACAAAACAGGTAC